TAATTCAATAGTCGGTTGAAAAAGATCACGCCATGAAACACCTCCACCAAATTCATCATAAGCTTTTTTATAAGCTCGTAATTCACCTGGAACAGCAATAGCTAAACCACCTATAAAAAAAAAAGAAAAATTATTAATTAGAAAAATAATTTCTCTTTAATTAAATACTTTACCAGTCATAGACATATTTTCTCGACCGATAAACATAGTTGCATTTGCAGCTAATGGTGCTCGTTCTCTCTACAAATATTAATCATCAAATGAAGAAGATTTCTTTTCTTAAACATACTCCAATAAGACTATATGCTTTATTTTTCTTCCTAAAAATTAGAGAAAAAAAAAAAACAAAATTAAAAATAGAAAAGAAATTTGAATTTTACTTAGAATAAATTAAGATAGTACATCCACCACCAATACCCATTGAATGTGCACTCATAACACCATTACAAATAGCTGCTGCTAGAGCAGCATCCATAGTTGTACCATTTTTTTCTAATATTTGACGTCCAATTTTTGAACATTCAACATTATCAACAGCGATAGCTGCTCGAGAATATTTGCCTAATATTGATGTACCATTTATAATATAAGTTTCATGACTAGCACCACAAGTTTTACCATTTGTATCAGGAAAAGCTAGAAAGAAAAAAAAACAAAATATTCATTAAATTAAAATGAGTAATACTATTTTATTTAATAAATACAATGATTTTCTATTGAAATTATTAATCTAATGAGGAAATACATTCAAGTGATATCCTCCAGTTTCGTTTGTTCATGCGTCAGTCGATAGTTTATCGATATAGTAGAAAGTTAAAAAGGATATCGACCGTTGGTGTTTCTTTTAAACGTTACGGATGATTTTCTAGTTTTCCCAGAGAACAAAAAAAACCAGTGAAAATGAAAAAATTCAGAATTTTGTGTAGAAAAGTCGTACAGAGCTTTATTTTTTCCATTGGTAGTTTTAAAGATCTACTAACGGATGGACCGGAGATTTTTAGGCAAAATGTTTGTTGATTTTTGACTATCTGGAAAGTGTTTTTCGAGGAATCAAAAGCTATGGGTTATAACCATTGCCGAATATAGGCTTAAGAATTTTCTTGAAATCAATGAGAAAATTTTTCTATACACTTTTGCACTTTCGTTATTGCAGTTCGAAAGTAAATGTTGACATCTGTATTAATATCTTAACTTGCAGAGTGGAAGCTGCTCTACAAAATGTACTATTGGAGTTTTTTTCTTACAGAATACTTCAATTTTCGTTTCTCTTACATCCTCATTTTCGAAAAATCGATCCTTTGGCCAAAAAAAGTTTTTTTTATTGAAAAGAGCTCTTGATAAAATATCTATAGTTTCATATTGGCTCGTCATTCCATCTGAATTGTTGGACCTTTAAAAAAACTCCTTCAATAGTCTCGAACAAAAATCGACATAATATTTCTAATCCTATTTTCAAAGAGAGCACAAAATGCTGATCGTCATCCATATACCTTGAAAGTTTCAGCTCTCTAAGCCGTTTCCTTTTCAAGTCATAGGACTTTCTAATTGAGTAGTTGGGCGAGTAAGTACAAGAAATCTATTCTTCAGCCGAATGCACTCACTTGCAAGATAGGCAAAAGAGAATATGAAAACGTCGTGTGGTCATAATGAGAGAAAAGAGATATGAGATCAACGAAAACCTCATTACATCATAGATTTACTCAAGAATTTCTCTTTCAAATAGAAAGTACTATAATTCGAGAAGAGAATCGGCTAGAGAACTGAAACTTTATGGATGCATAGTAGCTCTTTAAGGTCTTAAAAATAAAAGGTTTTAATTGTCTATGACTTTTCTCGACGAAATTCTAAACTTTTTCATTTCCACTATTTTTTGCTGTAGAAACTAGAAAAGTCTCCGTAACTTTTGAAGGAAACACCAATGACCGATATTCTTTTTAGCTTTTTTTTTGCTAGTTCAATATCCTCTATTGATCGGCATATGATCGAATGAAGTCGGAGGGTATTAGCTGCATAAGTTTTATAGTTTTTATTGTAGAAATTATCATCTAATTTTATATGAAGCCAACAATCAGTTTATAGCATTACTGTATATAAATGAAAAGAATAGTGTCTATTTTTAAGATATATTTTAAGAAATCGATTATTAAATTATATAAATTTAAAAAAAAATAGATATGCATTGAATCAAATCTAATTCAAAAGCAAATCTATATTGAAACAATTTTTTAGTTCGAATTTTGTTTACATTCTATCATAGACTTATTTCTTAATAAATAATTATTAATTAAAGTTATAGATAAAATTTTTAAATGAAAATCATTAATCATCTGAATTTTTCTTACGTGTTTTCAAACCATAAATAAGACCGAAGATAACACCAAATACAACAAGAAGTGAAATAATAGCAATTGTAAAAATAACTGTTCGTCGCCTAAAGAGAAGAAAAAAAAAACGAATAATTAATTAATTTAATGAAAAATTAAACTTCAAAAAAATCGAAACTATAAAACACCTTCGTCTTCGAAAAATGGTTGATATTTTGTACAGTAACAGAATTTGTACTCGAATGAGGAGTGTTCTAAGTGATTCACTATTCATTGATATAAAGATAAATCCAATAAAACTTAACTTAATTTAATTAATCGACGTCGATTTGAAATTCGAACAAAATCATTTGAATGTTCACTTAGATTATTAGTTGATGATGAAGAAAGAAGAGGTTCATATTGTTCTTTGGCTAAATACATCATTAAAATTGGTAAACAGGTTTTGATTAGTTTTTTTATCATTATTTACTATAGATGATCATGATTAACAAATATTTTGTCTTTCTGTGTAAATAGTTGACTATTTATTCATTTATTTATTTTACTCATCTAATTTTTATTAAGTAGGAAAGTTAGTCAATCAGGTATTAAAATAGAGGGTGCTAGTTATCAATACATTATTTGATGGGGATTTACTTATTCAATGTAGAGAATGTTTAAATAATAGATGTTGCAAAATATCTTGGACAATTTTCTGACTTTGCCACTACAGAATATGTCTTCTTTTTTTGAAAATTTGAGTATTCATTGTTCGAAAATCTTATCATTAACTGTACCTTTTTTTCCCACAAGCAATTAAAACGAGATCGACTATGACGGAGCGAACTATTTCGAAACTGCAAGAATATCTAGAAACTTTTAATTCAAATGTTTGCTCAAGATACCAAAACTTTCAGAAATCAGATCTCTTTAAAGAAGAAGTACGTTTGCATTAGTATTTTTTTCTTCGAAGTAAAATTTAAACAAATAAATAATCTAGATATCATTTGAGTTCAAAAAGTGCATACACTTGTTAAGATATACAATTTATTTTTATAGTGTCCTTTTTCATAGTTTTGAAAACATCAAAATGATTTTACTACTGTAGTACATGAGTAACAGTCAGTGACACATGTCTTATTAAAGTAGAAATCATGCTCTATCTAAAAAAAAAGTGAAATCATCTTCCTATCACTTTCTGTTCGAGTATAATTGAATTTGACATTTATCCAAGAACTTTTACGACAAACGTTACTTTAAAATCTCTTAAGTTATGTATTATTGTCAAAACAGTTTCATATTACAGACGATAGAAATTCAATCTGATTTATGACAATTGAAAAATCAAAATATATTCAATACATAATATAAACTGATTGTTAAGAAATTATAGTAGATATTTGTGAATGATGAGATAATTCAAATATGTTTAATTATAGTATAGATGAAAGATTTATTCAATGAGAAAGATATTCATCTAAAATTCAACTAAACAAGACAGTAGATTAACATTTCAGAGAGAACAAATCGATTTCTAATAAATATTATCTTTTGTAAATATTACAGAATGTTTTTTTTCACTCATTGAAGTTTTCAAAAAGAAAAAGTTTTTATATGTTCGAGCTTTAATAGTATGCTGATTGAAAGATATATGGCAAACATATATATATATATATACAGTTGGATATTACTGATTTATAAACGATCAATGTTTAAAAAAAATGAATGTTCTATTTTTAAAGCTGTTACATATAGACCTTTTTTATGTGTTTTTTAACACTTAAGACATCATTTTCTGATCATTTCTAAAATGAATCATACAAGCATTTATTGTTCTTGATATTATGATGAGTAATTATACCTAAATTATATACACATCTGTTTCCTCTTCATGTAACACGTTGACAGCAATGTGTAATTGTATGTAAGAGATAAATTGATTTATGTTTGTATAATTTTCTAATGTTTTATTTTGTACCGGATTTTACTTACGATTGTTTTTGTTTTACGTAGAATAATTGCTATTTATTTTATTTTATACTAGAAAAAACTTGTCTTACATGATCCTTGAATATTATTTATGGAAAAATGTAAGATTCTTTCTTTGATCAATTTCATATGAATGCTTTTTTTTTTTTTGTTCAAAGATGTATCATCAAGTTATATCGAATTTATAGAATAATTTAATGAAAAATATTTTTAAATTATTAGTAATTTTTGATACTTGTAAGTCTGACACATTTTTATGTAAGGTTAAATTTTCTTCATATCTAATTGGTGTAATCGAAAAAGTATAGATGAATATAAAAACAAAAAAGAGTATTAAAACTTGTGAAACGTCATAGAAATTAGATACTTTAATAGAAATTGATAATTTCAATAAGATTAACTTCTTATCTTGTTATTATATGAAAGGCTATATTTGATTTCTATGACTCTTTTTAAATTCATCTAAAAACATTTAGTGCTTATTTAGAATACAATGAAATCGATCCAAGTAACTTTCCTATAAATGATACACACAGAAATGAATTCTTTTTGGTTCTTTGCCAAGTATCAACAAACCTTAATTCTCTCACAATATAAAGATATTTTATTCTGAATATTTTGAAGATTAACATAAGCTTTAGTATAATATTTTAATTATATAAAAGTAGAATAAAGTCTTCGATTTTTCGATATAGTTTAGATTTTCTAGGCACGATCATCCAATGAATCGAACCTACAACACACACAAAAAAAAATAAATTCTTCATAAAAATTAAATATGGAAAAACTAAAGATACTCACCAAGAATCAATAGAACCCAATAAAGATTTAACAATATAATCACCAAATGAAAATGGAAAATTTCCTCCACGTGTTCGTTGAATTTCAGCACGTTCCGAACGATAATCATCCATAACATCCAAATTTGGTATCACTCTATCCCAATTTGATAAATAACTTACTGTTTGAAGATCATCTGTACATGCTAAAAATGTAACATAAGTTTGTGGTGTACGTTCATGACGTAAAACAGCTTCTAATGCACCAACATCAAGTTGACCATATTCATTAGTTGGTGCTCTAAAAACAAAAATAAATTATATTTTGAAAACAAATGATTTACTCTTTTTTTTTTCTTCTTGTTTTTGTCATACCCATCAGTAGCAATAAGAATTAATAATTTCTTTTCATATGGTTGATTACGTTTAGCTGCAAGAATTCTTCGTAATGCTGGTACAAGTGGTGTTAAACCTTGTGGAGGCGCATTAAATACTTGACGAACATAACGTGCATCAGTTACATTAAGCATAGGATCTCGATTTAAGAAATAAATATCAATACCATTTGAATCCATAACAGAACAGATGTCAACAACAATGTTAACAAGCTAGATTTAATAATAATGATTATATAAAAAAAAAAAAGAAATTTATCTATGATACATACAGATTTTAATTCATCCCATCGTGTTTGATTTGTACCTTGAATTGGTGTATTCATACTACCTGAATCATCACATAAAACAACAACTTCACAATTTCCAAGTGCATATAGGCGTGCAGCAAATTGTTGATTGATTTCATATTGTTGAGTAACTTGATTCAATCTTTGTGTACGTTGGTCATTTGGCATGAAATTACCAGAACTAGGTCCATAGCCACTAGTTTGTGGCGGAGGATATCCAGTTCCTGAAGTGCTGGGATTTGGTGCATACGGATTGGCACCATACGGTTGTTGATTAAAAGTTGAATAACCTCCAGGACCATAGTTACCGCTTTGGCCATAAGAAGGATATCCTCCTTGATTGTATGGATTACTAGGACCTTCGAATCCACCTTGATTACCACCGTATGGTGTTGACATATTTTGTTGATAACCACTACAAGATAATAAAATTTATAATCATACAAGACATAAACTTTCTTTTATATCGATTTATTGACATTTATTTTAATTTCTAAGTTTTCTATATGAAACCCTGACAAATATATCTCACTATAATGTCAAGTTTAATTAATTTTATTTAGTTCTTAATTAGTATTTAATCTTACCCAGCTATTCCATGTGGAACCCCATAGGGTGGTTGTTGCGGATATGGAGCACCTCTTCCTCCACCTGGTTGAGAATATTGTTGATTAGGATACATAGAGCGTATTTCTACCTTCTTGTCTGCTGTCGTCTATTGAATGAAAAAAAAAGTTTGCAAAAATAACAAGCAGTTGGCACACGTCAAAGTATATGTGAATAATAACGGAGGCACGGAATTGGAATAGGAATAGAATGATTATTCATCGAATGACGTCTATAGCCCAGTTCGGTTCTTTTTTTGTCATTTTATCACGTCAATGCTGACGATAGTTTGAGTAAAGAATAGTTTTTTACTGAAGCGCTAAAGACTGAGTTGATTCTAATTCACTGATTGGTTGTTAATAGATGTCGCTTAATGTACACTAATCTAATAGCTAATCCATCCGACGACTAGAATTTATTCAATCTTCAGTTACTCGAGAGCTTATTTATCCTTTACTTATTTCTTTCCTTCTAGATACTCCTGATCATATAAAAATAAGTGCTGAAGGACGTTGAATACATATTGATGGCAATATACACATGTTTATTGCAAGCATCAATCATATAGTAATCCGCTAGTAGAGCAAAAATAATTTAAAAAATAAAACCTAATAGGTTCTATTTTCAAATAGATGATTAATCAATTTTTTATTTCATATAAGACTAAAGACAATATTTTTCACATTATCGATGTTTTTCAAGGTTGAAACTATATTTTTGTAAGTGGATATCGATATATCATTTGAAATATGATAGAAATTAAACGAAAGGTAAAAATAGACACATAATATAAAAAGATCTAAAAAAAATATGACAATATTTAAAATTGAAAGAATTATCAAGAGAAAGTATGGTATTGTTTATTGAGTGTACAATTCAACATAATTTCTGAATTGTAATGAATTTGTTCGTATTTGAATTATGTGTTTATGAAAAATTCTAAAGCAGCATCTGAATGAGAAAAAGAATCAGTTTATTTAACTTTCTTTTATTTATGTCAAATAAAGAGTGAAAAATTTGATTCTTGAGTTTTGTTATTATAATCAAGATCATATCTTTATCAAGAAAAAAATTTCTTCTGAAAATAAAACCTACCTCATGATATGAAAAATTATGTCCTTTGAAACGAAACTTATATATAGTATGTATATTTATTATGACGAAACCATCGATGAGATTGAATAGATAATCGATATGACAAATAGATCGATAACTTTTTAGTTTTCGTTGTTACACTGAAAAATAGTTGTTTGTCTTCGTAATTAGAAAAATTTGTCTACCAAGTGGAATAGATATCTTTGACATCGATAAATCGAATCACTTCAGAATTGAAAATTAAATTTTACGTTTTAGATTGTGTTTTATTTTTTTTTCCGACGATATATCATTTATAATACATTAGGTAGTTGATAAAGATAAACGGTAAATTAGTGTATTTACATAGTAATATACACAGTATTTGCTATTCTGTTTTGAAGAACAAATTTTTATGGGTGATTATCTATAAACAAGATTTTATATCTAGGATTTTTTAGTCAATTTTCATTATTCATTGTTGCAATTCAATGTCAAAAAATAAAAAGATATTTTCTTTCATCTATCTATGGCGAATAAAATCAGGTGAAATATACAGAAACCTACGAAAAAACTTTAATACGTTGTCTACAAATAATATCTTATATGCATATCCACTTTGAATTGCTTTATATTATGGTTGGTAGTCTACGAAGAGCACTATACAGTACTATAACTTTGTGTTTCATCCGTTCAGTTTTAGAACAAATAAAAAGCAAAGATAATTTTTCCTTGGATGTTTCATAATCATTTACAATAGAAATATCCATTTCTTCACCTGAAAATGTTGAAGTTCATCAATTGTTTTTTTTTTGAATTTCTTTTTTCATCGTTATATTTTATGGCTAACCAAACATTCTTTTGATATTGGTATTTGAGATATTAGCTGAATACTTTACTATTTGGAATGTACTAATGTTCATGAATTTTTCTATGATATGATAGGCACGTTTCCATCCATCATCTCACTACAGATGCTTTTGTTGATGAATTTTTTTAAAAACTATGTTGCTCGTTTTATTGCTTAAACCTACAAACAGAATATCTTTCTTTGAAATAATATGGTTGTATCCATGAACTTTTTCATTTTTCATAAATATATACTTTAATTGTCTACTTTGACGTTTTGACCAACAGCAATTTGTTCTATAGCACAAAGAGAGTGTAGAGTGTGGCTATGACTTTGAATTTTATGTTTATCTATACCCATTTCGATCCTCGGAAAAACTCCATTTTAGAAAAATGAAATTTCGATTTGACTACCTTGAACGGTTAGCTCGAAATGCAATGAGTCAAGAAATCAGAGTGTAATCAACTGAGACACCTCCAGCGCTTTGACTACGTATTGAACTACTCGAAAATTCGGAAAATAATATGATAGAGTGAACAAATCCTGATTGAGCAGCACTCAGACCGTTTGCTACGTGAATGAATTGGATGTTGATCGATATCGAATTAAAGCATTATCTACTGGTACTGCTTCAAAGTCCAGGAAGCATCGAAGATCTTAAGAACTCCGGGAAACTTAAAAAAAAGATTCATAATAAAGCAAATAAATCTTGATCTAGAAGTACAGCTGAACAGGATTAGTTCTTATCCCGACTCCACCTTCGCTTCTACGAGTCAGTAATTCGGACATTTTTTTTCCAAATTGCAGCAATCGAGATCGACATTGGGACTAACGAGAGAAATATGATTAGAAGCTCAGTCAATGACCAGTACTTGAAAAAGGCAATCATGTTCATCTCAATCTGGTAGCCTTCATACAACTGTTGAGTGTACTTCTATTGTGGATTATTCTATGAACTCATGAAACGTCTATGGACATGAATCAACGATCTTGAGAGCATGTATCCTAGATAATCGATGATTACAGGAAATGTCTGCTACTATTTCACAATCTGGCTTTACTCATTGCCTAAAGTAAAATGATATTTTCATTATTTCTCATGATCACAAAAGAAAATAAAAGCTCAATTGTATCCGTTCACATAAGTCTTGTGGAAATAATTAACAATCCGATTGTAATACGTTTTGATTAACAAACTTGATTTTGTCTGAAAAGTAGTTCATGATCCATGAACATTCCATCACTATTATCTTTATTATATGAGTGGTTATGTATGTTTAATATCTATACTTACCTACTACATCCACAAAATGACATTTTTAAAAAATTCTTACTATTGTCATGAAACAACAGTACTCTGTAGAAAATAAATGAAGGACCTGTAGAATAAGAAGCTCGAATGTCTGACTCTTATTGACTACTAATCAAGTACTTGCAACAATACATCAGGTTCTCGATTACTTTTGTCAAATCTCTTGATCATTTTCGATTTATTAACATGGTCGACAGAGACTCATTCATTTGCATATTGTATTTCATTCGGTTGATGTTCATCAGAAATTTTTGATATAAAAAAAAAAAGAACATCTTATAAATGTGTTTCCTAAATCCATTTCAGATTAATGTTCAAATCTAACTATTGATTACAACGCCATCTATTGCTTGACTCTATTTTTCTAACAGTTATCTTGAAAATTAAAGTTGATTATTATGAACTGTTTATTTATATTTTTAACTTTTATACGATAGTAGTCTACTTTTAACATGTCGTTGCTAAGTAACAATATTGAATAAAATTACACATGAATGACATGGATTGAATTTTATGAGTGAATATTGCAAGTGTAATTTTTTTTTTGTTTGTAATAATAATCGAATATGGCTACGTTAATGCAACAACAACCAACTATGAAAAATATAGCATTAGAAACAATTCCACAGAAACGTTTTCCTCTCGTACATGTTCTAACATCAAAAACGGAGAGTGATGAAATAAAGGTTTGATAATTTTCATAAATCAAAAATTTATTTCTTTTATCTTCTATTTGAATATTTAGAAAGAAGAACCATTCAATTTCGAAAAGACCATCAAATTTCTCATCGATCCTCATTCAGTAAAAAAAAAAAACGTTCACATAATACATATTGAATTTCTTTTTTTGTTTTTTAAAGTCACATCTAATCGATCGACGTATTCGTTTATGTCAAAAATTATGTCGACATTATCAAAATGGATTTGTAAGTATTTATTTATTTTTTTTTTTTTTGTTTTCAAAAATTCATATCAAAAAGAAAATCTTATTATAGGCTGTCAAAGATTTACATTATCTTATGAAAATTTTTAATATACTCGGAGATCTTTGTCAACAACAACCAAATTATATTGATGTATTTATTCAAATTTTACAAAATTGTTCAAAACCATTTCTATTAGATAAATCAACAGATGGAGAAATTTATTCATCAGCACTTGTTGCTTTTTATTCAGATTTTGGTAATGAATATTTTAATTAGACAAAATAAATTTCTTATTTTTAAATTTAATTAGGATATCTTCTTCGTATACCAATAAAACGTATTCAAAAATGTATACTTGAAACATTATTTAAAACAATTCAATCATCAAATAAATCAGCATTACCTTCAAATGATTATGATGGATTAAAACCGACTACAGTAGATTATATTCTTCGTATTCAACGTCATAGTGATCTGTGTGAAACACTTGTTAAAGTAAAGAAGAAAATTAAAATTTTTTGCTTTTTTATAAATTAAATTTTTATTTTCTAGACACTTTCACTTATTGAAAATGATTTATCACTTCGTATTCTTATTATAAAATTATTACAAACTTTATCATCAAAATCACGTAGATTAAATTTTATTTTATTTTTGTTTTTGATAATTAATTATTGGTTTTTTTTTTATTTTCTAGCTGAATGTATAGCAAAAATGTTAACACATGATTGTGTCAATCGTTTAGTATTAAGAATGAATGATGCTGATTCATCTGGAGAGTAAGTTAATAGAAATCTTAAGTATTAGTAACATAAAACTTCTAATAAATACGAACGTTATACTGAAAATTACAGTTAGAGATAAAGATGCTACAAAAACAAGAATAATTAAAATTATTAGAGCAATTCCTGCGGGATTAAAATGTTAAACACGATATAACTGTTATCGCTAATCACAAGAAAATCATTTTATTCTATCTATTTTGGAATACATCACTTCATTATTCTTTTACTTACTCTTTCAGAAATATAATACAGAAGTAGTAGCAAGATATTATTGA